AGCTAATGAGATGTTAAGGTGATGATATTAAGAGTCAAACATCTTGGGGCGCCTGGGTGGCTCAGTCATTAAGTGTCTGCCTTCGGCTCAGGTCATGATCACAGGGTCCTGGGATCGAGTCCCGTGTCAGGCTCCCTGCTCCGAGGGAAGCCCGCTTCTCCTCCCATTCCCCCTGCTTGTGTTCCTGCTCTTGCTCTCTCTGTCAAATAAATAAATAAAATCTTAAAAAAAAAAAAAGTCAAACACCTTAAGCTTATTCACTCAACACTACTCATTTGTAATCACATGATTGCTCTGGTTCCTAAAGAGCCTCAAATCCAAATCACCAAGATCTTTTAAAAATATATCTAGACTAGTGCTTGCTTTGGCAGCACATATAAAAATATATCTAGACTCTAGAGAAAATGTTTGCCTTATTAATAACTTTCAGTCTCACTGATTTTCTCTTTTGCTATCAGACAAATTCGTTTTACAACAAAATTATCTAAATATCAGAATGACTTTCTGGGTCTTTGTCACTGAGTCGTTCTGTATGATATTCGTCAAGACATTTAGTCTCGTGGGCCATGGTGAGGGGATCAGACCTGGAGATACCTGCATTCTATTTTAATAAAATTCCTAATCAGTGAAATAGCTTGAGCTGTCTCTGCTGTTTACATCTGCTAGGACCTATACCTTCCAAAGTCATTTGACTGCTGCAGAACTAAAATTCTGAAAGGACTTTTTGGATATTGTTTTACAAAAAGAATTCCAAAGATTTTCACAGCAGAATTTGACACGCTTCTCAAGATGTGGCTCCTGGCCCCCCCTTTCCAGCCTTCAGTGCCTGTTCCCGGCCCTGAACATGCAGTCCTTTCTCTTTTCCAAGCCTTGCACAGCTGCTTCCTCTGCCTGGAATGCCTTTTCCCACTATCTACCTAGCAAATGCCTACTTGTTCTTTACTTTTGTGACACCTGCATCTCTTCTCAATGGCCTTCAATGGTCTCCTGCAGAGCGGAGTCCTCCTCACCCTTCATGCACTTACAGGTCCTTGTTCACATTTCAGCAGTGCATGAGGGGACTCAGTGTCCCACCAGTTTCAAGACCCCAGAAGGCATGCTATCAGCTTTGTTTCCCTCTCTGTCCTCAATACCATTCACGGTACCTAGCATTTGGAAAACACTCACATGTTTGCTGAAAAAATGATACTGATGACTTGCAATGAGCTTTTATGGTTCCAATAGCCTAAAATACTAAGCAGTAAGCTATTTCTATGACAGAAATTAGAAAAAAAAGAAGAAATATTGATTTTACTTTAGAAAAACAGTTGGAAAGTTTAGGGTATGATGCAAACAATTACTAAAAATTAAGTATATATCATGTGTAAAATAAAACAAAGAAAATAAATTCCATTGCCTTTACCCATTCAACAGGGAAATTATTTTCAAATATTAGTTGTAGCAAATCCCAAAGGGAAAGTAAGAAAAGGAAATGGTAATCACCTTATTTTCTCACATTCTACCTCCAGTACTGCTGTATGCAAATCAGTAAAGATGTAACTGCAGCTATGAAAACATGAGATTTAGATGTGCTGATATAAAACCATCCATAAACTGCATTAAGTGGGAAAAGAAAAACAGGTACAGAATAGTCTGTTCTCATTTGTATTAAAAAAAATGAGGGTGGAGAGGATGTAAACACATAAGCTTGAATACTCAGAAACTTTCTGCAGTAGTAGTGGCCAGCCCCTGGAGATTATAAATAAGGCTCTGAGGCAGGAGGGGGATTTCACTGAAAATTGCATTTTAGTCCAGATTTTTACTATGGGCATGTATTAGGTTTTTAACTTTCAAATCTAGTGAAAACAAAAGAAAACACAACCTACCTAAGGACTCTTGAAGCACTTGGCTTTTGGCACACTCCCTGTTCAGAACCCAGCCATGGTGCTCAAGGAGAGGCCAGACGTGCATGTTCAGGTCAGCAGCCAGCACAGACTGCGGCCGTGAGTGAGCCACCTCGGACATCCAGCTCACTCAAGACCTAAACGACGAGCACTACCTCCATCTGACTGCAATCGTAAGAGAGGTACTAAGTTAGAGCTGCCCAGTGAAGCCAAGCCAATCCATGGGATCAGGAGAGAAACAGAATAAACTGTTTTAAGCCAAGGGAAAAATAGAAAAACTAGTTAAGGATTTCAGGGCCTTAAAATGCAGGTTGATCACATGAATTTATTTCTATTCTGTCCTGACAGTCCACTAAATTAACATTAAATGAAATTAAGCTGAGGGGATGCCTGGCTGGCTCAGTCACTACAGCATGTGACTCTTGATCTCGGGGTTGTGAGTTCAAGTCCCATGCTGGGTATGGAGACTACTTGAAAAAAAGAGAAAGAAATAAATTAAGGTGAAAACCCACAGAGCGAAGAAAACTGAAGAAATGTCAAGGAAAACAGAAGAGGCATGACTACAAAATTGCAAGCTGAAAACAGACGGGATAACTTTTAACAGACCTGAGAAATCAGGGACTGGTAGTATCTTCTAGAGAAAACTGAACTGAAAAGACTCAGTGGAAGACCAGGGTAGGGCCTAGACTCCTAGACTAGAGCACTAAGTAAAAGTCTACTAATAATGAGTGCAAGCTCTAGCCAAAGCAGTCAACTGTGAGAATATTTTTAGAAATGTATGAACATAAAACATTTACCTTCCAAGCACATTTCATAGGAAACTATTGGAGGCCATGCTTCAGCAAAATAAGGATGTATACCCAGAAACTGGAAGATGCAGGATTGAAGAAATGAGGTGGCCAAATCAGGAGGATACTGAGGCACTGGGCTACGAGCAGACAGTCCAAATGTGACAGGACTACAGAGTTTCTAGGACAGAGGTCTCAAGGTAAAAAAAGAAACTGATAGACTGATTTGTGTGAAAATTGGAAAAAAACTACCAATACACCCAGAAGAGAAATTAAGGATTCCTACATGGAAATTTATAGATGTGGAAAGGAGAAGGTGAAGCAGTTACTAATCAGGAAAAACAAAACGTTGTGTAAGAAGAGAAATGCAATCACACTATTTGGTTCTCCAGGAAGTGATATTTTCAGCATCTTTTTAACAATGTCAACAATGACAATAACAAACTGTGGCAGGAAGTCAATAGGTAATGCCTCCTAATTTAAATTAAGAAATGGGCATATTACTTAGAAAAATGGGGGAAAAAATCTGTAAGTGGTGGGAGGCAGGTTGTTGTTTACACTGTCTTTTAAAACTGATTTTTTAAATGGACATATATTAATGCTACAAATGATTTATATTTTCATTAATCATAATTTTGTTATTCAGCAATTACAAGAATGATCTTATGAAATAATGTAAAATTGTTGGGTTCAGCAGCAGAAGCTATTATAGGCACTTTTCTTGCTAATAATTCTTTTTAAAATTCAAAATACCAATAAAGTCTTGCCAGTCTATATATAAAGTGAGAAGGCACTGTATTCTTCTCTCTTGTAACAGTAAAGAATCCATCCCAAAATATACTTTACATTTAACAATGCAAATCAAACCCTGTTGGTTTGGTAAGTGTGGTAAACCACTCGAATCTACCAAGAACAAAAAATGTCACAAATGTGCTTTGATAAACACAGAATCAGAGTCAAGTGTTTTTCTCTCCAAATTTTAGCTGTTACCAGTCATCATTAATCTATCATCATGATTCTTCTACACTGATTCAAATTTAAAACTGAATGACTACCTAAAATGAGTAATTTCTTATGACCTTGAAAGAACAGAAATACCTTTCAGTACCTCTTCCCAAGAATGTACTTTCTTTAGATGCCTTAGTAATAACTTTTAAAAAAAATAGTAACAGACTCAGAAAACTGGACTACACACACATGCAAAAAAAACCCTGAATGTAAAAAGAGGAAAACTCTTTAGAAAATATAGGTTCCTCCTACCCCCAAAAATGATTTTCCGAAAATTACTATTATCATTTAAGATTGTGCTTCACTTTCTGACTTTCTAGATTCAGAAACAAAATCAAGACCAGGATCTGAAGAAGGCTTTATTAAAGCGGAGCACCATGAAGAACACAACAACTGAATAAAATGACATACTTCTAGAGGACCCGATGTATTTCCCATATACACTGTGTATTTCTAGTTTAATGAGAAATGGAAAAGAGTCACCCGTATTGTGTTCAGTTTCCAAAACTGTACTGAGAAGAATTTATTTATTGAAAAACTCTTAAGAGCTAAAACAGTAACTATTAAGAGCTAAAGGAAAAACTCAAAGTCCATATCCTCCTTTAAAATGAAAAATAGTGGGGGCACCTGGGTGGCTCAGTCAGTTAAGTGTCCAATTCTTGATTTCGGATTAGGTCATGACCTCAGGGTCATGAGATCAAGCCCTGAGTTGGGCTTCATGCTCAGTGGGGAGTCTGCTTGAGATTCCCTCCCTCCCTCCTTCTCTGTCCCTCCCCCTGCTCTCACTCTCTCTCCCTCTCTAAAATAAATAAAATCTTTAAAAATAAAATCATAAAAATAGATAAAGTATACTATAAACAGATGTGTGTGTGTGTATACACACACACACACACATATATATATATATATAAATGTATACAAAGAATATGTAATAAACCATGTCAGCAAAACTAAATACCCTGATAAATTCTATATGAACACTACTTCCTGGGTAGAAATAAAGCAATATATATGTAAAAATTTCTTTGTAAATTATACTTGGTTAACAATAAATCCATATATTTAAAAGTTTCTTTACTACAATTTCCAAAGAAAATTTTGAAATCTGTCAACTATTAAACAAGTAACATACTTTTATTAATCACATTAGGGAGTAATCATTATTTAAACCACAGTGAGAGAAACACCTTTATACACGGGACAAATAAAAAGAGAAGCTGGGTTAAAATGTAACAAATAAAGGATGTTACGAATTTAAATCATGTAAGCAAAAATAAACATGTAAAATATACTAGCTACATATCAGTACTATTTTCCTTACCTGCCAGATAGAGGGCAAATGATATAAATCTATGGTAGCGAATGAGGAACTGAAGTTGCTCTTCTCTTTGAACAAATGTAGCAAAATAATCAGCTACAGTCTCTCCATAGAAGAAGTAGTTTACACATAGTAGAAAGTACCTATAATTTAAAAACAATTAGCTTTTTTATACTTGAAGCCTTTTTTCCCTCTCAAACTCAACAAAACTATTCTCTACATTTTGATGATGACACAAACATCATAAACCAAATTGAGTAGACAGGTTCAGGATATTCCATCAAAACATGTTTTTCTGCTTTTAAACTTAATTTCAAATGTATCAGTCAACAAAAATTTACCAAATATAGCTCATGCCTCTACTTAGGTCAAAATCTTTTTCTTTTCTTTTCTTTTTTTTTCTTTTTTCTTTCTCTCTCTCTCTCTTTCTTCCCCCCTTAAGTCAAAGTCTAAGAGACAGGTAATTGGGAAACAACATAAAAAACACTACACATATACAAACACACACATTCTTTCTCTCACAGACACACCCACACCCACCCCCACACACACACATTCAGTACTGTTTGCAATGAAAATTCACTCCCAACTACTCACAGCTCTAGAGCTTTTTAATAGTGGAGATGCTATGCCAAATTCCCACCTGCCCTAAGGAAGATCAACAGAGAAAGCAGGAAGAGGTAATTCAACCTCTGACCTCTCTCCGCACTGCCCTGTGCATATTGGTGTCTTTCTCCCTCTCCTGCATGTTCCAGATGGACTCCAGTAGCACAGTGATGCTTAAGAGGTAATGGTGGGGGGTGGGAGCAAGCAGCAGGTAAAAATCTCTAAGAGCAACTTTTTAAAACTGTGTAAATCACCTGTCCCTCCACCCAGCTCTGGTATGTCTTTTCCACCCAGCGGAGGGTTGAACCCATGACATTTTGCTGATGGCAGCTTGTGTGAGCCAGGAAAAAAGGCTGAGAAACACTGCCTCAGAGTTCCTCTGTGCCTCATCCTTCGAAGGACAGCGTCCCAGGTGGCCAGGAGAGCAGAGGAGGAAAGGAGGGATTTCCCTTCTAGTTGTCATGAATGGAGTAAGACCCCAGTGTTTTCAAAGTAGAGTATTCTCACTTCTATCAGCTGCATTACTGTTTTCTATTCTCCTACAATGGAAACTGTCTTTGACTCCTCTGTAAGGCTATCAAGGCCTACTCTAGCCCACCAGCCCAACTTTTTGCCCACTATTCTGCTCAGGAGAGCAAGGAATGTCTCTCCATCTGTGGCACGTGCCTCCTCAGTCCCCTATCTAGAACCTGATGGGTGCAGCTTCACCAACGCAGAACACTCTTCTCTATCCAAAACTTGTCTTTATTTCAAGTGATAGTTTCTCACCTTCTCCATAAAGACTTCTACAATCACTGGAGCCCATCCCGACCTGCCTTTTTTTCCCCTACACTTAGAATCAATCAATCCTGCATGGTTTAGCAGTTAATTATTCTCCACCTGCTTACTCTACCTAACATTTCCCATAATTTTGCCCTTCATGAAAAAACCTGCTATAAGGAAAAATTAGCTATTACCAAAACCAAGAAACTATTTTTTGACCACTCTAAACCCCAAAGGTATACATTTGATTTCTTAAGACACTGGACCCTCTGGCTGATACTAATCAAATACCTGTATTCAAAGGCATGGCCAGTTAGGTCAATTATGAACAATCATATTATATGTTTCCTGGTCAAGGTCTTGATAACTAAGAATTATACCTGAAAAGTTGTAAAAAGATAAATGAAACTTTAAATATTAAAATCACATGACTTTTTTTAAAACTAATTTTTACATGCATTTGTACCCATACAATATTTCATGGGCTGGTAACTGCCAGTGCTATTTACAAGGCTGCCTTAAGTCCCCTGAGAGAGTCTTACTCTTCCCTCTGACTGCCCTCCATGCAGCATGTCATGGGGCCCAAGGCCTGAACACAAGATCAAACCAGGAACAGCAAAGGTGGAGTCATCTCTCCTCTCACTGCCCTGCCCAGCCCCCAGGGCCTACCAGGGAGGTGGGCCATGGAGGGTGGGAGGGAGACAGATATTCATCCTGGGCTTTCCTCCCCTTCAACAAACCACTGATCACTCAAGAGAAACAGAACAGAAAACCCACAACTATTTTCATATCTCATCTTTCACTTTTTGTAGAGATAATCTAATTTTGTGTGTGGTCTCAGGTCAACTGAGGAAAAATAAAGCAAAAGATCACACATATTTCTAACATTCTATAAAACAAAACTGTGTTAAAATTCTAATTGTAAAGAATATAAAAATGTGCCCAATATAATGTTTTTTTTAAAGAGGACAACAGTGTATATATGACTATACACAAATATAAAGTATCTGTACAAAGACTGAAGGATGACACACGAATAGTTGTGTTGGGACGGGGGACTTCAAGGTGATTTTCTTCTTTTCAAAATCCAATTGCATCCTTTTTATTTCTCTTCCTCCAAAAATCAATCTATACAGTCAATTGGGTGATACTGACTGATCAGGATGCTTCCTTTACAAACTCTAGAAAAAGTCATATTTTCACATCTGAAAGAGTTTTAAATTACTTACCAGCTTAATGTTCTAAACCATGGCAGGTCGTAAGAGCGATAGACTCTATAACCTATTGTGATAATTTCATGGAAGCATTTCACTTGGATGCCTAGAACCTGAAACCAAGAGAACACATTTACATACATCTCTCAGTGTTTACATTTGTGCTTCATTTAATATGCAGTTTGTTATCATATGTATTTTAAAAATCTTTAGCTTACCCATTTTTAATTATTCTAGATGTCAGTAGCAAAAATTGAATAGTCAATGCTTCTACAATCAAGTGATATTTCAAAGGGGTAAGCAAATCAATGTTTTATCCAAAAAGTGAGAGCTCCTTCCTGGGGTAGGAGGGGGCACTGTAGCTTAAAGTTTGAGGGATACAGTCTGGTTGGTCACAGACTAGGCTTTATCCCTTATTACTACTTCATTTCTTGAGTTCGTCCTTCTTAAGACGGACGATCTTTTTGTGCATTTTGTTTCTTTAGTTACCCTAGGAAAACGATTGAATGTGCAAGTTTGCTTATATATATTTAACCATACATCCTGGTATGCTTTCCAAGGATAAAGATACTGTCAGAACACACGATTAAAACATCTTTCCCCTGTCACCCAGCAGGGTTTGGGCATGATCTCTTCATTCTTCCAGCAGTGCCAACTCTCACATAGCCAGCTGCGTACATCTCTCATCAGTCCAAGTGGTGCCACATTGGCAAATTATAAAACAGCCTTCTACATTTGCAGCCACTTCAGCCAGTCAATTGATTCTATGCAGTTTCGTTTGCACAGTGTCCTATGTACATTCATAATAAATGGGTTAGGGGCGCCTGGGTGGCTCAGTGGGTTAAGTGACTGCCTTCGGCTCAGGTCATGATCCAGGAGTCCCGGGGTCGAGCCCCACCTCGGGCTCCCTGCTCAGCAGGGAGTCTACTTCTCTCTCTCCCTCTGGCCCTCCCACCCCCACTCGTGCTCTCTCTTGCTCTCTCTCAAATAAATAAAATCTTTGGAAAAAAATGGGTTAATATTTATGAATCCTTTTTTGATGGTCTACTTAGCAGTCCTTCACACTGTTGTATCCACCACCAACTTGAGTATAGGTAATCCCTGAGGATGTAGCATCATATTCAATGCTTGGCTTAAGTCAATTCCAAGACTTAAAGAGCAAGTGGCAAGTTGAACACTTATTACCATGAACCAAGAAATTAAAATCTTTGTGAATATAGCAGACTATTTCAACCTCTAGAGAGTATACTCAAGGGCTTGGTCTTGTATAGCTCTGCAGCTAAGAATGGATTTTATATTTTTTTAAAAAGTTAAAAACAAAACCCAAACATGATGTGAGAGAAATATGTAGTTCCTTAAAGCCTAAAATATTTTTACCTGCTTCTTTACTTAAAAATCTTACCAAACTCTGCCCAAGAATATACTTTCATATTTCTTTTTAAGCTCTCCACAAATTAGCTTTCCCAAAGCTACTGTTCAGGATATTCTTAAGTTGTATTTACATGTCCACTCACATACTTAAAGTAATTGTGTTCCCTCAGCCACATGATAAGAAAATATTAGGCCAAACTACTATAGTTTTAAGAAAAAGTCATTACTGCTTTATAACATAAAGACAAGAAATTCAAATAGTGTCTTTCAAATAAGCTTTGAATATGTCAAAAGTCATTTTTTAAAACAATCACAGAATGGGGACAATGCTAGATGTTAAAATAAAATGGCAAAGCCATGCTACTTATAGAACCAAGGGCTTTTAAAATATCAGATGCACTGATGCAATTTCTATTTGCTAAATGAACACATTTGCTCAAGAACAACCATTAGCAATGTACACGGTATTTTACTGAGGGGGGAAAACACTACTTTTAATAGCACACACATATATATTTATGATTGTCAACCACAGTTTGCAAGTAGAATCAATATAGTGCTACTGGGAAAAGAGAAAACAAGGGATTCAAATGAACAGAGCTAAAATCCTTAAAATATATGTGTATCTTCCAGGCTGGGTGATCACACAGAAACTGATATTCCAGGCCATCCATCCTGGTAGCAATGCACATTGGTAGGACTCTGTTGGCCCAATAAATGTGTTAAGAGCCTTGAAAACAACAACTAATATGTAAATGCCTCCTCTGCTAGTTACTGAGGATTCGGAGAAATAATACAGGACATGTGTCTTCAGAGAGGGCTAGTCTGTCAGGGAGGACACCTGGAAATAGGCACATGGATGTAGGCATGGCCAAACAGAACACCTATGGCAGGCACTGGGGACAGGCTGCAGCTGGCACAGAGGAGAAGGATACACAGGATCACAGATACAGGAGAGGGAGAGGCACGTTAGGGAACTACAAGTAGTTCAGAGCTGCTGAGACACAAAGATGGAGGTGAGAAGCAGAGAGAGACAAGCCTGGTCACAGAATCACAGCAAACGGTACAAAGGACTACACCAGAGTTCGTGCTGGGGACACCTGGGTGGCTCAGTCGGTTCACTGTCTGCCTTCGGCTCAGGTCATGATCCCAGTGTCCTGGGATTGAGCCCCACATCGGGCTCCCTGCTCCGTGGGAAGTCTGTTTCTCCCTCTGCCTCTGCCGCTCCCCCCTGCTTGTGCTCTCTCCCTGACAAATAAGTAAAATCTTAAAAAAAAAAAAAAAAAAAAAAAGGAGTTCGTGCTGATCACTAAAGGACATGATCCGATGCATGTGTTGGGGATAAGAGAGGTGGAAAGAATGGACTGGAGAGGCGGCAAGAGTAGAGACAGGAAGGCAGGCAAGATACCACCACCTGGTCGAGTGTAGATGAATCTTTAACTGGGCCAGTGGCAGAGGGGGTGGTGTAAGGAGTAATACATCGAGGAGATAGAACTGGCTGGATTTTGGGGGTTGAGGAAACTGGGGGGCTAAGGGTGACAGGGGAACATGGAATAAGACCAGGGAAGGCTTTTGGGAAAGTAGACAGATTTATGCAGAATGACTGGGGATGGAACAGAATTCAGATGTGGGTATGTTGAGTTTGACTATGGTATCTATGGGTTATCCAAATAAAACTGCCTATTTCCACTTTGGGAATCTATTTAAAGAAAATAATCCTGCATATGAAAAATCTTTACATTCTAATATGTTCAGGATAGTGTTATTCACCATAAAGAAATACCAAAACATAGCCTATATGTCTGAAAATAACACAGTAGTTCATAACTTATGATGCATTTCACTCCACTGAGTCCATGAAAGTATTAAAGTTGATGGGGTGGCGGGCAGTGCCTGGGTGGCTCAGTGGGTTAAGGGTTCGACTCTTGGTTTCGGTTCATGTTATGATTTCACGGTGGTAAGATGGAGCCCCATATCTGGCTCCGAGCTGAGTGAGAGGTGTGCTTCAGATCCTCTCCCCACTCCTCCCCCTGCTCCCTAGCACACATGCGTGCTCTCTCTTTTAAAGATTTTATTTATGGGGCGCCTGGGTGGCTCAATCGTTAAGCGTCTGCCTTCGGCTCAGGTCATGATCCCGGGGTCCTGGGATGGAGCCCTGCATCGGGCTCCCTGCTCCGCGGGAGGCCTGCTTCTCCCTCTCCCACTCCCCCTGCTTGTGTTTCCTCTCTCGCTGTGTCTCTCTCTGTCAAATAAATAAAATCTTTTAAAAAATAAAAAATAAAAGAAAATAAAGATTTTATTTATTTATTTGAGAGAGAGCACGAGCAGGTGGGGAAGGGGCAGAGGGAGACGGAGAGGCAGACACTCTGCTGAGCAGGGAGCCCGATGCAGGGCTCTATCCCAGGACCCCGAGATCATGACCTGAGCCAAAGGCAGATGCTTAACGACTGAGCCACCAGGCGCCCCTAAAAAAAAATGTTTTTAAATGAAGCCGATGGTTGTAACGATGGTGGAACAACACAAAACACTCAATATAATACTTAGTTTAAAAAGCAGGATACAAAAGTCTAATCACATGATTACAACTATGATTTTTAAAACATAAAAAAGGGATAAAAGAAAATATATTAAATAGCAGTATTAATTGGGTTTTGGTAGTTGATGATAGGGTTAGGGGTGATCTTCAAAAAATTATCAATTTCCCAAAGTAATTTTAACACTCTTGTATAACTCTCACATGTGAAAAAATAAACTATTTAAAACTGAATCATACAATGTGAATAAAAACTTAGAGGAGTTTCCAAGAAGATGAGGGCGGAACCTCTTATACTATCTGCCTTTAAGTCAAATTATACCTTAGGATCTCCATCACGTAGAAAGCATGATTGCAAGTTATGAATGCAACAACTAAAAAAGTATTTTAAGTTGCAGGCTAAGGGAAAAAAGCTCCTTTTAAGGAACATCTTATTATTCATTCTCATATTATGAGTTCCAATTTAAAGTAGTAGCTTTCATTTCCTAGAAATAAGTTTTTAATAAAACGCTCTTGAATTAGTCATTTATGAGTGCTAATATTGTAGGGCAAATGCAAGCTAGAAATGATGCATACTTCTCAAAATATAAATGACCTAGTTAGGGATATGAATATAAGTAGGACTTTAAAACACATAAAAGTAGTATCATTTGAGTACCAACAGTGCGTGCATATGTGTAAATCCATCCACATTTCCTTAACATGAATTATAAATACAACCTATGTATGCATGTGTACCCCTGTGCATGCATGTGTGTGCACACAGTGCAATAAACTTAAATAAGATCAATAAGTTCAAATCTACTTCACTAGATCTTTTTTTTTTAAGATTTTATTTATTTGACACACACACAGAGAGAGAGAGAGAGCGCACAAGCAGGGGGAGCAGCAGAGGGAGAGGGAGAAGCAGGCTCCCCACTGAGCAGGGAGCCCGATGCGGGACTTGATCCCAGGATCCCGGGATCATGACCTGAGCCGAAGGCAGATGCTTAACCATCTGAGCCACCCAGGTGCCCCCACTTTAACTAGATCTTTAATATTCTTTGCTGATTGATTAAGCTCACCAATGAAAGGAAGAACTTGTAATAAAATGATATTTTCCTCTCAGGGTAGAAAAAATGAACAAGAAAGCCCAAGCACTTTAGGTATGCTTATAGCTCTCTTTTTAAAAATCAGAATCCAAATGTGCAAGGATGTCTTTAAAAGTGTTTTGAATTTCCTCATAAACGAGTGATTAAAAATTAGCCTTTACGCACATATTCTGGCCTGAGTTACCACATCAAACAGTTTAGTCTGGACAACAACGTAACTTTCTCACAGGAAGCCCACCAAGCTGGCATGAGTCCGTGTATGGAGGATGCTCATATTCTTTGATGTCTTAGCTCAAAAGTACCTTCTAAAGCAAATAATAAATGATCCCCAATATTTTCAACGGCTCCCCAGTGCTTTATAAATAAATCCCAAGCTTTTTCACATAGTATTGCAAGGCCCTCCAGAATCTGATCTCCAATTATTTTCCCAAGTTCAAAGGCCCTGTGCTCCAGGGGAAGGGCATCGTCCGCCTTTTCCTGACACATCCAGCCATTCAGACCTTCGCTCACAGTGCTCCCTCCACCCCGATATACCCTCAGGTCCCCTGAAAGGTCACCTCCTCCACCAAGCCTCACCGAGCTGTCTGCCATCACCCAGTCCCTTGGCCCCCTGGCCCGCCACTCAGCACACAGCACTGAAAAGTGCTCCGCACACACTCACTCCTGAAAGGCCCAGATTCGGAGGCCAGTGGTGGTCACTGGCACTCATCGTCCTCCGTGGGTCCCCACTGAGAAGACCAGGGGTGGGCTCTTCCCTGGGGTCACAACCGAACAATGCTCACACCGGTCAATCTGGCTTCTAGGCTCAGCATCTTCCGCCCTCTCATTAAAGTGGTCCTATCCCTGATCCACTGTTCCTTTGTAAGAAAAAGTTCTTTCTCATGTCAGCAAACTAACAGAACAGAGAAAGTGATTTCTTATTCACCACTGTTACCCTGATATCCCCAAGGAAGTACAAAATTAACGAGGGGACAAAGGGGACGTGAAAGGGCTTTATGGCACTAATAAGAGCTGCTGTAAGTGCTTTTAGCAGGTGATGGGATTTGTTCCCAATGGTGTCTAATTTCACTTCAGAACTTATTTATTCTTTTATAGACTGGAAGGAAAACCACATCCTATTGCCCATGCTCGTCACTGCGAACGGGACTGAGCGTGGAGGGGAGCAGACAGGTCAGACAGATAAGCATCTAAGTGGGCAAGAGCAGCCAGAGATCTGGGTGGTGAGTGCGAAAGAGGCTAAACTAATGGAGATTAGATGATGAAAAGAAACAACAAGAAAGAGGGACACATGCATCTCGCTGAGAGCAGGCTCTCCCTGAGCCCTGCTAAACATGCTCAGCACCCACTAAGGGCTTGATGAATCTGTTCAACAAGTGCATTTCTCCTTCTCACTCCCACCACTTTGGGCTTCAAATGTTTCATGCTTCTTTGGGTATCAAGGCTTTTACACCCAGGAATCCTCTGCTGTGACCCTCCTGCCCCCAAGCTCCCCATCTCACCTCACCTGCTCAAGCTTCAAACTGCAGCATGCACGCGGGGCAGAAGACCTCCGGAAAGTCTTCTGGCTCCCCCACTTGCCCTCACAGCATCTTATTCTTTTTTTTTTTTTTTTCAAATGCTTATTGCAGTTTGTAACTATAGTTCTGATCAGTTCTTTAAAATGTAGACAGTAAACTCCCTGAGGGAAGAGACGAGGGTGCTTTTCTTAGCAACCCCGTATCACACCCCAGAATTAGGGCGATGCCTGCTACAGAGCAGGCATCCTGGAAGTATGTGCTAAACGAATGAATTGAAAGCTTAAAATACCCGTTTGGCTTCATGCCTTATTAGACTTCCCATATACAACAAAATCCCAAACGCCCAGATTGGCTTCAGCTTGCCTCTCTGGTCTCATCCCTAGGTACCCTCCAAATGCACAGCTGGCAAATCCCCCAACAAACCACATTCTCTCATTACTTCTATGTCTTGCTTCTGATGTCCCCACCTTGGAAACGCCCTCCCCTGTCCAGTCCCTTCTTCAGGACTCAACGTTGGCATCACCTCTTCTGGAAGTCCTCCCTGTTCTCTCCCTGTCAGGCTGGATTAGATACTTTCTTTACTGTGCTCAACCAACAAGTTCTATGACAGCACTCACCCACTTATTTACTATACTATTTATTCGTATAGTTACTTCTATGCCTCTGCCATTAGATTGAGTTCTTTGAAGTGAGGGATCTGGCTAATAGTCCAATATGATAAAGTCACGTGTGTGTGAACTCATTAGCAGTATCTAATGCTTGGCAAAATGTATTCATTACGCATACTTGGTCTCTGCTGAGTGAACACACTGAATGGCTATTTTGCAAACAGAAAAGATTGGTCCAGGTCATTTCATGAACTAGAAGATGCTTACGGGAACAAAATTCGCTGTTATCAAACCTTCTTTGAACTACCTTCTTTTTTATGACAGGCTCAAATTACTTCAATCATGTCAGTGCTGAAAAACAAAGCAAGAGATACTCAGGGAAATGTGAAACACTTACAAGAAGCATCAGCATAAAGGATCCCATATAGATGATCAGGAAAAACAATGAAATCATAGTTAGAGTAAGAATTCCACGAATCCACCAGTTTTTCCACCTACAAAGAAAATGTTTATAAAGTTAGTATTTAATGTATTCTTTCTTAAAGTTTTTTGTGTGGTTTCAGTATTACCAGACACATGTGGATTTCCCCTAACTCTACTTTAAGAATCCCTTACTTCACCTTATATAATAACAACAAAAATGAAAACCAAACAAACAGCATTTGTTCACTTACTCAGAGCTAAATTAAGTGTAAAAATTATATTCCCAAAGAAAGAAATGAATTTTTGCTCAAGTGTGATTAAGGATGAATCACCAGTTTAGGCAGTGAGATGGTCAGTGTGGATATGTGCACATCCCAGCTGGGGTCATTCAGAAGGGAAGAAGGCAGGTGCAAAAGCCCTCTGAAAAGACACTCTATCCTTTAGGGTGGTAAGAAAAACAATAATGATTTTATTAAGGTGGTTTAGACAGAGAACACAGACTTCTAATGAGAAAAAGTAAAAAAAGGTTAACACAGAAGTGAAACTGCAGAGCACAGTGATTTCAGTGAAATGAAGAAGGCACGAGAAGGTCAGTCATGGAGGCAAGACCAGACTGATGCCACTCCTTCTACTGCTCAAAGTGGGCTGCTGGCTCTCCTCACTTAACGGACAAAAGTACTTCCTCACCCTTGGGCCTTCGCTTGTTCCTCAGAGCAGAGCTGCTCTGCCGTATGCCCAGCTAGACTGAGACTGATCTCCCTCAGTCCTCCGGCTGCCAATAAGGGCCGGGGTTGTGCCCCGTGGCTCTCCCACCACACCCAGGAGACTCAGGCTTCATCCCCAGCATACTTTACAAATACTGTCACTCTTTCTGTGGCCAGGTCATGAAAAATGTTCTGTGTAAAACCAAAAGGATTCTAATAATATCTATATATGGATGATATTTCTGAATCTAAAATTTCTTCCCCCTGGTTTTATTCATTCTACACTGAGCTCACAATAAAGTTTTTCTTTAAAACTTCTCTGATTTCTATTAATTCAAATGACACCACTGAAATTATGTTACAAAAGATCTGGGTTCACCTTAAAGTATAGTAACATATTATGTACTGTGCTCTAAGCACAGGCCTTCATTCTCCTGTCTATAAAAAGAAATATTTGCTGACTTCATCCATTTATCAAATACTGATTACATTCCCTGCTTTCAACCACTCTCCTATACAGTCTAGATATTTCTTAAATATCCCTTTTATGATATCATTTCTGCACTCAAGATCTAAAATGCCAACAACATTAAGTCACAACTCTTTCACCTAGCTTCCCAGGTTTTTCATGAGGTGGTCAAATTGTACTTACCCAACTTTATTTCCCTCTACTGTGTAACAAACTATATAGACTCATAAATTTCTCATGAGACTGTAAGTTTTAGAACTGAACTGAAGTGAGCAGAGAGTCAAAAAATGCTATGGCTGAAAGGTTCCATTTATAACTCTTTGTGGATTAATGAATATATTGACTGGGAACTGGGCTAGGTCACAGAGCTAGTCAGAGATCAATAAAGGACCAAAAGCCAGTCTCCTGACAATAATTCTTCCCTGTTTGCATGAAACCCAGAAGCGTATTTAGCTCTCCTTTATAACTGGTCCTCAGACTTGGAATTGTTCAGAACCTACAGAAGAGGACTCTACGTAAGTGTCAGAAATCAGTCTCCAGGCGGATGTTGCCAAGGTCCATGTGTACCTTTGTTAGATGCCTGGCTTTGAACTTCAGAGGACGATAGCTGCTGAGAACCAGAGACCTTAAACAGAAAACCTACTTTCTTCATATCATCTAAAAGGTCCACAGTAACTGAAAACCTGAGCCCCTCAAGGAACATATCCTATCTGGTTATCTTTTATATGGCTTTTTACCCTCCCAGAAAAATTCCCCTCCCCCAACAAGGTCAAAGACGTAATTCCTTTAATTATTCTAATGGATTCCCCAAATCTCCTAAGAACACCTAATACAAAGTTAAGCACGTAAAAGAACATTGATGCAGTAACTGAAAGTCATCTTTTAAGAGAGAACCACTAAATTCAAAATAGAGCATGATATGAGGGATAAAAAAACAGTGTTACTAAAAACCAGAGGACAGCCTGATTCTGATTCAAAATTCTTGATTTCTTTTATCATGCTACCATGATCACATTAATAAAGTCTTAATTTTGAGTCCAAGTCATCACTTCGTGATTGCTTTGAAAAAAGGAACTCAGAATCAGTAAAGAAGAACTGCATTCAAGTCTCATGTCTCCAGGACCTACACTGAGATAGAAATGAGATTTCTAAAAAGTATATAATTAAGCAGTAGCCTTAAAAGTGATTATCGAAAGTGGTTATACACTTACTGCTCAAATCGTTCATGAGATGTACAATGTTTTACTTTTACTACAAGTATTAAGTGGTTTTTATTTCAAAAGTAATGACAAGGTTTAAAAATAATTATTTTCCTTGTGGCACAAACATCGTGAGTCATCAAGAATCTGGGCTGGCAAGGCAGTTCACCTAAGCCAAGAACTGGTATACAGAGATACTCGTCAAGAATAAGCAAGAATTTTGTGGGCCATCTGGCAAAGAGAATTTTTGAGAAAATTCATCTATCAGCCTTTGGAGGAACTGGACAGAAGTGTGCAAGTTCCTGAGGGAAGGAAAATGCATCATACAGTATAAGAGCACCAAGTATAAGGCTATGCCTGGATGTTTTCCTTGGCTTCTCAACCTCAGTGTTAATATTTTGAGCCAGAGAATTCTTTGTTGTGAAGAGCTGTTCTGTGTACTGCAGGATGTTTAACGTCTTCCCTGGTTTCTCCCCACTACATGCCAGTAACACTATCTCTCTTGACCACCTAAAATGTCACAAATGATCACACACCACATGTCCACTGGTGCCATCCAATTTCAACAACTTATGGTTTGTTTGATATTATATACTAAAGACTTAAAAATAAGCATAAATCTTAACCTTGCTACAAAGAAAAATGTCTAATACAGGGTTGTTTGTAATTGTGAAAATTTGGAAACCGGCTAAATACCCAGCAATAACCGTTTAGTTGAGTAAATTGAACCATCATGCAGTCATTAAAAATATTTAAGTAATTTAATGATGTTCCTAAAACCACAGAATGAAAACGTAAATAGAAAGGTAAGAAACAGTACAATGCTATTTTTATATTATACACCCCCCCACATACACATATATACACAATGTATAAGAAAAAAAAGCTTCAAACAGTAGATATTAGAATACTATAAATATCAATTTTTGGGGGGAAGGATTACAGGAGTTTTTTTCCCCTGCAATTCATGTACTTTTTAAATGTAATTAGTATTTTTAATCCCATGCATCTACAACTTCTAAATCTTTGTAAGATAGACCGTTTTGGGTACTAGCTTAAAAAGACCCTAAAATAAGACAGATTTTGAAACATTCATGTAGCCTTTAGGGCAAAGTTTGAGAAGAATGAAAACTGGTTATATTATTATTTATTTTTCATTTTAAAAAACCAATTCTTTTATAAACAGAGCATAATACCTACGGTCACAATGTGCTTCTATCACTTACTAACTGCATGACCCCTGACATATAACATTTCTGTGCCTCAATTTCCTCATTTACAAGACAGGTTTATATAATTGAACCTGTGTTAGAGGGTTGCTGTGAGAATAGTCAATATGTGTGAAGTACCTGGAGTAGTGCCTAGCACATAGCATATGCTCAATAAATACCAGCTGCTATTATTTGCTATTGTTACTTTACACCAGGAAAAAAAAAAACTCATTATTAAGGAAAAATCTACTATAAATGACATATAGGAATCCAGCATCATTCTTATATAACAATATAAAAAAATTTCAGATCTGAGATAGACCTGATAAGATTTTAAACCAAACGTGTATCTCTGAATGAGGTCGGAAAAACTGAGATCAAGAAGTATTAAAATAAGAATCAGGTTTTCAATAATGAACAGCAGAAAGTTTTTCTATTGGTTAAACAAATATGAAAACTTCTGTTTGAACCAATTTATTCTAATATGGTTATCTGCTAGGAATTAAAAACAGAAAAACTTACATTTATTAGATATGACTAACCAGTGTTTTTTGTTATGACCTATGGGTAGTAAAATCAATTTAGTAAGTCACATCCAGCATTTTTGTTCAATAATACAGAAAAGCATCAAACAAAAGAAATTAGAGGGTATCACACATAGTAATAGCAAGAACTGTTTCATAATATTTTTGCCACAGTTAAAATACACATTTGTGTGTCTCTTGGGATGTGGTGTAAAATGTATCTCCTACTGTGAGTCACAGTCAAAAAAGTTGGAAAAGCATTGTTCTATACCAACATTTAAGATTTCACACATTAATCTGGATAAAAGCTTATATTTATTTTGCTTTTAAAATTTTTCTAATTCATATCAGTAAAGCATACAATGGAGGGCAATATGAGAGTAGCTCAAATTTGGTGGTGACCAAACATTCAAAACTATAGCAAACATAAAATAGTAAAAGGTTGCAGAGCTTTGGCTGATAATTTTAAACTCAGTTAAAAGAAAAAAAATGACCTATTTCCATCTGGCATCTGAAAAACAGGGAACAGAGAATACGGAATTTTCTTTATTAGATGTTCCAATACATACCAGAAAAGGTAACCTGATGTGGTAAATCACTTGAGAAATCTGAGAAATCAGGGCAAGAGTCCCAGGTCTGCATCTTCCTAGCTCTGGAACCTTCCCCAGTTAACCTCTCAGACTTGGTTTTCTCATACTTCACAAGACTATAAGGATTAAATGAAAGAATGTACATCAAGCATTTACTACCATGCCTCACATATGGTGAAAAAGTATAAGTCTTCTCTTTCACAGCTCCAAAACTTAGAAAAAGTGAGATTTATGACATCAACCAGCATAACCACAAAACTTCTTTTGAGCACCCAATACAAGTCATCGTCATCCAATCATACCTTGAAGATAAACCAGATAGTGCTTTCTTGAGGATCTCAGGGGTTCTATCTGAAGACGGTGGAATTTCTGGAATATCAGAATCTGTTCTGGAATCCAAATCTCCATATCTGTCGTCAATATCTGTTTCCTAAAATTAAAGAAAAAGGAAAATCACTTTGCAAAATTGAAAAAGAAAAAAAAGCACATGCTTGCCAATGCATTTATTTATTGTTCAGTGTGTCAAATCTCTGTTATGTAACTTGAAACTAAGAAACAACTATTAACCTTGAATAACCAAGCACTGTTGTACTTCCCTGTTAGGAAAGTTTGATGATCTTTGCTAAAATCTATCAATATAAAGGATTAATTTAAACAAAAGGCACAAATAGAAACTTCCTATAGTATCTAAATCAGAAATTTACCAACAAGAATCAAATGTTTGTTGTTTTGCTACTTAACTGGAAGAATATGGTGTTCATTCCATGTAAATTCTGATGAACTGTGCACAGTCCCTTTTTTATTTGATTACAATCAAAGCATCAACAACAAAAGCAGAATCTTACACTGGCATAGCATTTTATTTAATATACATATATATTATATATATACATATATAATATATATGTATAAGTATTTTCACTTCCCTCATTTTTATTAGATCCTCAAGAGACAATCTCAGTGAAGCAAGGCAAACAGACACTATCATCTCTGTCTTACAAGGAATTACGATCAAAAGCATTTGCTTTGATGGTAATATTTTTCATAAAGTTATTTAAAACCAAAATTGCTTTCTAAGAGTACATATACAGGAGCTGGGTGTTTATGCTGGGGCCTTTAGACAAAGGTGGTCACTGTGGAATTTCCAGGGATAGAATGGCCAAGGAATTTTAAGAAGGGAGCTGCCTGGGGTGCTTGGATGGCTCAGTTGGTTAAGCGTCTACCTTGAGCTCAGGTCATGATCCCAGGGTCCTGGGACAGGGCTCCTTGCTCAGTGGGGAGTCTGCTTCTCTCTCTGCCTCTGCCTGCCACTCCCCCTTTATTCTCTGTCAAATAAATAAATAAATAAAATCTTTAAAAAAAAAAAAAAAGAACAGAGCTGCCTGATGTTGTTTTAAAGTTGTCTGTTCTGCTGTAATGTGTCTCCACTCCTATGTCTTTCCCTCTCCACCCACCGCCCCCCACCACCAGCAACCTTGAGTAAAGAGTGCTACACATAAATGTGCTTTGGGAGAGTGGTTTATGGAGGGGGAAACTGAGGCAAAAGGTGCTGAACTGGGGAAGAAGAGAATATTCACAGGAGGTGAATACAAGTACAGGGAGCATTGAGCAGAACATTGGGCCAGAAGTGATCCTAGGAATGAGAGTGCCTAGGAATTCAGAATGTTCAGGAATCTCAAACCCAGCTCCATCCCTATAGGCAACAAAGTTCTGGTAAATTTCATCACCCCTTCTACCTGTTTTTTTTCATCCATAAAATAAAAGCATTTAATATAATGCTGAGGTCTTAGTAAAGTCAAAGTAGTAGTAAGCTATGATTATGATTGAACCAAGTCTTCCAATTCCTCATTAAGTAGCTTACCAAATAAAATTTTAGCCTTGGGGGAGTATTTTCAGTTTTCATAAAGCAATAATAAACTTTTGTTTACTAACCATAACTTTCTTATTAAACAATTATTTAATTAAATGTGTCATTATACCAAAAATGACATATGAAATAGACATGCTGAATTCCCACTGTGACAGAGTCAGTTGTCCCCAAAGCAGCTTAAACAGAGAGATGCTGACTAATAAACCACCAGACAGAACATCCCCTGAAAATCTCAGGGCACCTGCTGTGAGTCTGAATTGCCAGCATATCTTTGACATCTAGAACAATGGAACACATCACTTTTTTTTTTTTTCCTTTTCTCTGCTACTCTTTTTTTAACCTTCAGTAACCCAGTGTTGTAGGCGTGGTGTGAGAAGTAGTAGAGATGGTGACTAATGGACTTGGCTCCCTAAGGCAACATCACCATGTTGCCAAAAGAGACTAGGAACCAGAAGTTACCAGCACTAATTCCACTTCTACTCTATTACTGTGATGAAAGGCAAATTACTTAGCCCTTTGGTTAAGAAACTCCGTCTTTGGGCGCTTGGGTGGCTCAGTCGTTGGGCGTCTGCCTTCGGCTCAGGTCATAATCCTGGGGTCCTGGGATAGAGCCCCACATCGGGTTCCCTGCTCTGCCAGAAGCCTGCTTCTCCCTCTCCCACTCCCCCTGCTTGTGTTCCCTCTCTTGCTGTGCCTCTCTCTGTCAAATAAATAAATAAATCTTTAAAAAGAAAGAAACAAACAAACTCCACCTTTGGTTTCCCCATAAAATAAAGCACTAGACTAGAATACAAATTGTGCTCCTCCACACACTAACACTCTCAGCAAGCCACTTCAAATTCTACTTGGCAATAATGGTGATGTGCACAACCCCCCTCCCCATGCACACATTCTCAAAATAGCTGCCCTGCTTTTATTTTTATGATTTAAACCTCTGATTTCTATTGTATACCTTAGAGAAACACAAAATGAAACAAGATTTAACTAGACTTCTTCAATTCTGTTCTAGTAACTAAAGAATGAAAGATAATTCCAAAATAATGACATTTTAGAGCAATGTTACTCAAATACTGCAGTGAATAGCAGAGACTCTTGTGTTGCTCTATTTCTTGTATGGATCCTCTGTTACAAAGATACCAAAACTGGCAAAGAAAATGAATGTGACTGGAGATCCTGGGAAAGAAGGAAATACTACAATGATCAACTAGTGCCATGAAGCATGGTGCCTGCTGAATGAAGGTACTTAAAATGTTTAAGAAAACCAAATTCAGGGCTTCTTCTCAAGCCTGTAATTTAAAGATGATGATCCTCCACTTTTCATCTTAGGCCCTGTTCTCCCTCACCCCTACCAGGTGATTCCATGGTAGCTTGCCTCTTCATCTCTCTGTGAACTCACAATTCCCAATAGACCTGCATGTCTACCTTCCAACATGCCATTTCCTGGTGGGTGGGCTTTCCATGAACATCACCTGAAATTCAACATAAGCAAACTGACATATCTTTTCTATACCAAACCTGTTGCCCCTTCTGTATTCAGGTAAAAACACCACCACCAAACAGTTCAACAATTAACTCAGGTTTGAAACTTGGCTATCAACTTAACACCTGCATCTCTTCTGACCAAAACTCATTCAGTTAGGACCAAGCCTGTCATTCATCTTTCCCCCCATCTCCAACCCCACCCACTGCTCTATCCTTGCTGAGCATCATCCTCTCTCAAGTAGCTCATCCCCCTGCCCTAATTCATTTTTTTAAAAGATTTATTTGAGAGAGAGAGAGAGAGAAAGCGTTTGCACAAGCGGGGGGAAGGGCAGAGAGAGAGGGAGAATCTCTCTCTCTCTTAAGATTTTATTTATTTATCTGAGAGAGTGAGCATGAGAGAGAGAGACAGAGAGAACACCAGTGGGAGGAGTGATGGAGGGAGAGGGAGAAGCAGCTCCCCACTGAGCAGGGAGCCTGACACGGGATTCGATCCCAGGACCCTGAGATCATGACCTGAGCCAAAGGCAGCTGCTCAACTGACTGAGCCACTCAGGTGTCCCAAGAGGGAGAATCTCAAGCAGACTCCCCGCTGAGCATAGAGCCTGATCTCAGGACCCTGAGGATCATGACCTGAGCTGAAATCAAGAGTTGGATGCTTAACCAACTGAGCCACCCAGACGCCCCTCTAATTCATTTTCAACATAAAAAGAATCTTTCTAAATTGCAAATCTGATTTTACAATTTTTTATACAAAATTTTTTTCTAATTTTTGTAGAAAAAAAATTTCTACAGCCTAAAAACCACCGGGATAAAGTCAAAATACTTAGCATTGCTTTTACTGTTTTTCATGATGGGACCCTGCTCTTCCAGCCACAGTTTGATGACTCCCCAGTTTTCACACTCAAGAGAGTGCCATACTCCCTTGAATCCAGATGTTTGTTCTATGTACAAAGTATTACCTGTACACTTACTCTCTTGGTCTCATCCCAGTTCCAATCTTCTCTTCCCCGTTTCTTAAACCTAGCTACTGCCCACTCATCCTCTGACCTCAGCTTCAAGGTCGTTTCCTTTGGAAATGTCTTCACGGACCCCCAGCTCCAGGTTAGCTGCTCTTCAACTGTGTTTCCACAATCCCCCTAATTTTTACCTATCAGTTTACATTAAAGTTATTTGTTGCTTATCTTCATTTTCCAGGAGTCCATAGGCTTTGTGAGAAGAAAAAATACCATTCACTGGCCTCACTCTTGAATCCCAAGAGGCCAGCAGAGGAACTTGCCCCATAGGTGACATTTATTAAACACTACATAAATATGTGTTCAATGAATTGAGTCTGTCAACTCACGCTAACATTTAAGATTAAAATAAGAAGTTCTCATCTGTTCTTGCTAGCTGAGTCTTGGCCAGGTTACCTTGTGTGGGACATTGGATGCACTTATTTACGTAAAATGAAGGCTTCTGACTACAAAGGACTACTATTTTCCAAATATTAAATTTTAATGAAAATATGTCTAGGAAATGATGACTGAAAGTTGAAGAAATGAGTTTCTTTATTACCCTGTAAATTTAATTTCTACAGTACAAGTACACTTAGTAAGAGCAAAAGCACTTTAAAAATACTGATTTAAGTCTTTGCTAAATTTTTGGCTCATTCTGATTTTCCCCCAATGACACCCAATTCTATTATACATTAAAATCATACTACGTCTTATGGTTTCATTCATAGTATTCAATTCCAAATTAGAAATAAAGATCCCTGGGGTGCCTGGGTGGCTCAGTTGGTTAAGCAACTGCCTTCGGCTTAGGTCATGATCCTGGAGTCCCTGGATCAAGTCCCACATCGGGCTCCCTGCTCAGCAGGGAGTCTGCTTCTCCCTCTGACCCTTCCCCCTCTCATGTGCTCTCTCTCTGTCTCAAATAAATAAATAAAATCTTTAAAAAAAAAAAAAAAAGAAAAAAGAAATAAAGATCCCTGAAGGCAAGATCCATGGGATAATACAAAAGAACTTAGAAACTGGAGAAGTTTTATTCAAATGTAAAATATTACTACCATCACAAATTTGCATTCTATCTGAGAGCGT